AGCTGATTCAATTTTAAAAATGTATTTATGTTGAATTAAAAAGAATTAAAAAACTGACTACCTTTTTGGAGCTCTTGAAACCTATTCTCAAATTCCCTTACAGCAATGGAAAGCACAGCTGTATATTCTTTGCTGTTCACAAGACTTTTAGTCAGCGTATGAAAATGCATACAGTTATTTGCCGTCACTTAAGTCGGCACTGCACTGCACCCTCCCCATGCCCTGGTTGCAGCACAGATGGTGCAGATTACACATCAGTGTTTGGTTATTCTGAGAGATGGGAGTCCACCTGGGGCTGGGCCAAGCCATTCTGAGCCACCACCATGATTGCATGGGGTGCGAGACAGATGCAAAGTGAGCGGGGCCAGGCTGCATGCAGCCCCACGGGTGTGGGTTGAACAAGTCTGGCCTAATACTTTCTTCTTGATTAAATGCCTTCAGGAAACACATGATTCCATGAAATTTTCATACAGAAATAACTTCCAGGTGTTTCTCAACCTGAAACATAGTGTGTTTTTCACTACCAACTTAACCTGTCTTTTCACAGATTGGATTGTAACAAAAGAAAAACAAATCTACAAACTCCATTTGATAGTCTAGGCAAGAGAACCTCAGCTGATTCTCAGGGAAGGAAATTTTAATATTTCCATGGAATTAGCACTGTTCTCTGCCTGAAGGCAAAGGAGTAGATTGGAGCAGGTAGTGGAGCTGGAGTAGAAAAAGTCCAAGGGACAGAAGGAAAAGATGAAGTCTGTGGAAAAGGAGAACATCCTGAAGGATGGACTTAAGGCTCAGGAGCTTGAGTTACAAAAATTTCAGAAAAACAAATGCTGTAGAGCCTAAGTTCTTTCGCACAGAAACTATTCTGCTTAAAAGGAAAAAAAGAAAACAAAACAAGCCAAGCAAGAAAGCCTAAGGTGGCTCCAAAAGTCTTCTATCTCACAGAAAGGCATCAGTCACACTTTCAGCAAGATTGCATTTGCTAGTCCCTTGTCATGAGATGTATTAAAAGATGAGATGTGATTATTGCAGCAAAGTTCCTTTTTCCAGTGCTGTGATAAAAGAGTTCCAAGCAGCTGCTTTTCCTCAGGCTTTGCCTCTATTGCCTCCCTGAGAAACACATATCCACTTCCAAGGAAATCTCCAGTGTTCTCCATCTCTTGGAAGGAAATGCAATCTGTCAGCAAGACCTGAGCTGTGCTCTGCATTGGCTTTGTCAAAAATGCATCACAGCTCATGAGAGCACAAGTGAAACTGGTTTTTCTGCAGCTTCTCTCCTCTCATGCAGGCCAGCAGTACATGTTATGAGTACCTCCTGCCCTTGCACTTTAAGCAGCTAATGTTAATATCAAAACTCTTTTCTCACTTTACCACGGCCCCAAATCCACATTTTCTATACAGATCCAATTTGCCAAATATCACACAAATATCACCTGCTATTGTTAAAAGGGATTCCATTTGTTCCTATAATACATCAGAATGTACACTACATGCAGCAGTTCAAAATCTTAGTTCTTTCTGATTAAGAACTTCAAAATAAAAAGTTCAGAACTTGTTTCCTGAGAAGATTTTGGCTATGATTTACTGACATATATAAGTGTCATAGAGCAAATAAGAATTCTCTTGAAGTGCCAGCAGATGTTGGATTATTCTGTTCCAACGATGATGAGGAATGGAAAAGCACTGCCATCAGGAGACAACTACACATGCTGAAAGGAGGTAAGGGAGTAGAGAAACAGATCTGAGGATGATCACATACTAAAATGGAAGGAACACTAGTTAACACAGCCAAGGGCTAAAGCCTTTCAGCACAAGCAGTACACTGGAGAACTCCTGCCTGGAGCACCAAATAGATACATTTCTTAACACCTTTTCTGCTGCTGTGTCACCACAAACACTTCCTAGAGGAATAGACCAGCAAATAGGTCTGAATTTACAACAGAAAACATCTCCTGCAGCTCACACAGCTATACTCTATATGGGAATTCACATCATAGAAACCAAAAGCACTGCCATCATTTGTGTTAAACAGCAAGAGAGAAGAACAGCTTCACACATTATACTTGCATTTTTTGTGCTCGAGGCACAATTGTCTGCTAAGTACACATGAAGATAATGACCAACAGTAATTTGACTCATGTGTGCCCCTCACCAAGACATATAACTGAACTCAGCCCTGAAGATCTCCTCAGATGGACAGGGAAGAAGCTGGACTGAAAACAAACTTTTTAAGTCATTCACCTTTATTTAACTACAAGAGATCACAGCATAAGTTCACAGAACTGTGCACCAAACTACAGAGTGGCATGATTCACCCCACAGTAACAATATTTTTTAAATATTAACTGAATTCAGAATATTCTGGAACTAGGCAGTACCTAACAGTAAACGATGCCTATCTGAAGACTACTTCTCCATTAAGGGCAAAGTTAGGAAATTAATCGGTGGTACAGGGGTTTGCACACCTGCATTTATGATGGCTTATGCATGGTATCTGAAAGCTCATTTTCAGAGAAAGAGGATGAACCATGTGTACTAGAGACAGATTCCTTTTCGATTTCCATCTCTCCCACTCTATCTCCCATGCCTTGCTTTTCTTTTAATAGAAACCATAGCAGTATGAAAGCATATGCCAGTAATGTGCTAGAGTGCGGTCAGAACACAGAACCTGGAGAGACCAAACCCCACAATCCTACGTGGCTGAGATCAGAAAAAGTAGACTTCACTCATCCTCACTGGAGGAGCACCTTCCTTGTAGTTACTTTTCTCATGATTTTCCAACTGATGTAACTGCACATATAAAGGGTGATAACACTGACTGCTTTGCGCACTAACATAAGTCTGGGTTGTTGGGGTTTTTTTGAAAACAGATAAAGAAAAAATTGAACTGGCAAACAACTAAAAATAAATAATTTAAGCAAAACAATAAGCAATTGCTTTTCATGATTTAATTATATTCTTCCATTTAAAACCCTCAGACTCCTCTGACAGTTTTAGGATATTCACTATTATTCACATACTTGATCCAAACATTTTCAGTGGGACTATTTACATAAAGAAAAACTTATATAGACATTTCAACAACAAAAAGTGTGTCATAAATGGAAAAAAGCTGAGCTGCAACAAAGTCTGCTTCCACAGCTTCAGGACAAGAGAGATGAAAAAAAAAAAGGAAAACAAAGGGCACACTGTTCTTGGGCTGACGTTGGCACAACCTAACAAACACAGCCAACTGTGAAGGGTGTTCCAAGGTATTCACAAAGCTGAGCATGAATGGGAAACATTTACATCAGGCAACAGCCCACCTGACACACATACTTAATTATTGATGCTCCGCTGTGTTTGCAATCTGACGCATTACAATCCCAAAGCAGTATAATGAAATGACAGGTTTGCACGGTGAGGTGTCAGAGGGACACCCATCTCCAGCTCCAGCTATCCTCTCCTGCAAGAGTCCAGCTGCACTTGCACTGCTACTGCTGTAGCACATATATGGGATTACTGCCTAAAGGAAGGCTTTCACATGCCATCATGGGTCCTGAGTCACTTTTACATCACCTATTGAGCTACTGTCTGCCTTCAGGCTAAGTACTGAATTGCTGCTGCAGACTCTCTAACAAAGAGGGTTTACTTCTCTTTGTGTCCATTTACAGCAGGGAGGACATCAGGAACTTGGTATAAAAGATCAGATCATTCAGAAGTCACTGACATGCATAGAACATTCCAGTATAAGCAGTGTTAATTACATTCCACTTTCAGGAAAAGAAAGAGAGAAAGACAGAAAGAGAGAGAAAGACAGAAGGAAGGAAGGAAGGAAGGCAGGAAGGAAGGAAGGCAGGAAGGCAGGAAGGAAGGAAGGCAGGAAGGAAGGCAGGAAGGCAGGCAGGAAGGCAGGCAGGCAGGCAGGAAGGAAGGAAGGAAGGAAGGAAGGAAGGAAGGAAGGAAGGAAGGAAGGAAGGAAGGAAGGAAGGAAGGAAGGAAGGAAGGACATGAGGATTCTGTAACTCTGAGAAGTTCTTTGAAGAGATAAACAGCCTTTTAGAAATAGCTAAAACCGTATTACTGGACTAGGAAGTAATTTGAGGAGCATTATACGAGGAGCAGGATTTTATACTTGCCCCTGATCTGGAATGTGTAAAGCAGCAAACTGTAATTTGATATGAGTGGCAGAAAACTTACAGACTTATCTCCTGTGTGTCTCACACTTCATCTCTACTTAAGTTCCTTTGCGTATAGCCACACATCTAGTCTGGTCTACCGCCAAAACCTTAAACCCCGATTGCCTGTTTTTCAGTTTAAAATTGCAACTTTTACGTGCAATAGAATGACCCGGTATTCTTACGGGCAATATTTTTGCAACAACTTAAAGCACCTCTAGTTTCAGGTATGTGAATGCCTACGCCCTGCAGCGAAACGCAGCCGAGCGGCTCTGAGCCGGCAGACCTGATTCTCCCTCACTTCCCGACAGCGCCCTTCATCCTGCCAGCACCGGAGGCGGAGGCTCCCGGGGCGCAGCGTGTTGCCGGAGTGCTGGGATGCCACGATGTGCATGCCTGAGAGTCCCGCGTGGGTTGATCGGAGAGCAGTGAGAGGGAGAAACTGTGTACAGAGGGACATAAGAAGAAAAAAGGAAGAAAAAGAAAAAGAAGAAGAAAAAAGGAAAAGACAAAGAAAAAGGCAAACGAAAAAGAAGAAAACGAAAAGGAAAAAAAAAAAAAAAAAGGAAAAAGAAAATGAAAACAAAAAAGAAAAAAAAGAAAAAGAAAGAGAGAAAAAGGAAAAGGAAAAGAAAGAGGAAAAGGAAAAAGAAAAAGAGAAAAAGCACAAGAGTTGGAAATCCCAGAACCAGAGCGCGGAGCCCCTTTCTCAGGGCCGCTCCCGGAGAACAGCGCGCCAGCGGCGCTGGGCTGCCCTCGGGGCTCCTCAGCCACCAGGCACATGCGGCCCGGGATCCTCGCAGCGCCGGCAGCAGCGCAGGGTCTCTGTGCTCCTGGACTTACCTGGGGATGTACCTGGCCTCGTCCCCCAGCCGCACCTCGAAGTCTCTCCAGGGCTGCTCCAACCCCGCGGTGCTCCACGTCGCGGCCGCCTCCTCGCCCTCCTCCACCGGCTCCTGCTCTCCAGGGCCGCCGCTGGACCGCCGCCGCGTGGCGCCGCGGAAGCCGCGGGCGAACTCCCTGAAGGTGATGGCCCCGTCGCTGTCGCTGTCGAGGCGCTGGAAGATGGCCTCGGCCTCGGCCGGCCGCACTCGCAGCTCGGCGCAGAGCGCCGCGAAGTCCTCGCGCTCGATGCGGCCCGAGCCGTTGGCGTCGCAGGCCAGGAAGAGCGCGCGCAGGCGAGACTGCTCATCCCCCGCCGCCTCGGCGTCCATCGCCCCCGCTGGCAGTGCTGTCGCGCTGCTCCTGCGCCCGCGGCCGGGACGGGGCGAGAGGCGGTGGCTCGAGCCGGCGGCACCGCTCCGCCGGGCGTTCGGCGGGGCGGGGCGGGCCGGCCCCGCTCCCCGCTCCTCCCCGGTGCCCATCGAGCCGAAGGGAGGCGGGCCGCGGGCGATGGCCCCTGCGAGGAGTGCGGTGGGGCGGCGGTTGCTGCGGGGCACGGGCGGTGCCGCCTCCTTCGGCCCCGGCGCGCAGCTCGGCTCTGCTCGCAGCCCCGCCGGAGCCGGAAAGGTCTCGAGGCGGGAGCCGGCGGGTGCCGGGCCTCGGCTGCCCTGGGCTGCTGCTCCCGGCGTTGCTAACGGCATCGGCAGCGCACAGGCATGCGGTAACAACGCGGATGAACGGTTCACTTTTACTACCTGAATGGGAGTGCCAACGCTGTGCAGATGCCATAGTCTTAAACCTCAGTCCTATCTTCCAGCACTGCAAAAACAGCACGGCAATGAGCCCCAAGGATTCCATACATGAATTCTTCCTGACCACTTTGGAGTTGCATGTAAAATAGAATGTCCTGAGCTGGAATCGCAGAGTTTAATGTCTACATTGTAGAAAAAGTGAATGCTACTATCTCATCACCCGTAATTCAAACAAGTACATCATCAAAATAGCGAGCAAAAAGCTGAGCGCAAATCAGTCAACTTAAGGACTCATATTTTAGTGCTTAGTATACAAGAATTCTGTATTATACTGCATGTCTTGTCAAGACCATTCAGTTTCTTGAAGTCTTTGGTAAATTTCAAATTTCATTGGAACTTCAGAGGAGGGTCAGGATGGAGATCAGGGACAGGCTTTTCACCAGAGTGCAGTGGGCATAGCCTCAAGCTTGCCAAGTTTGAGGAGCATATGAATAATGCTCTCAGGCACAGGGTTTGGATTTTGGGTGGTCCTGTGTGGAGCCAGCAGTTGGATTCATCAGTCCTTGTGAGTCCTTCCCAAATTGGGATATTCTGTCATTCTTTTAAATTCTTAACACATATGTATTTTATTTGCCTCCACTTATTTCTGTGTCTATCTGCAGACGTAAATTGCATATGCCAAAGTTGTGATAGAGTTAAACAGAATGTAAATCTACCTGCTAACAAAATCATGTTTCCTTATTGACTGAAGTACAGCCCCAGGGCAAGGACGTGATCCAGAAGAGTACAAACCATTCACCTGACCTCTCATTTCAATAAATCACATATGGTAAATGGAGTGTAAAGTGCTTCTCTGCCTAAGAGGTGTGGAATGTCCTAGAAGCAAATTATAATTCTTTTACAGTTTTGTTTTTGTTTGTTTGTTTGTTTTGTTTTGTTTTGTTTTTGCCAGAGTTAGACAGGGTCAGCTTAAAATTCTGCCATCTATCTATCTCTAGTCAATGAAATACGAAGCTTTCACTTGCACTCTAAATTAATACAGCCATTTAGTAACTTGAAATACAAATTTTAGCTTAAAGATAGCAGAGAATGGGAAAGGATTTGATACATTATTTATTTTTGTCACTATGTTTCTGTTACAATTATAAAACTACTAAGTGTAACAAAGCAATGTCACCTTCGGATTCCTTTATCATTACAAAATAAAAGCAGAGTTAAGAGCAGAGTTCTTTCTGTTCTATATTTTCTTACCTGCCAAAGAACACTTTATACTCAAAGAGTTAACCGGGTCTATCATAGAGTCCTTACAGAGCTGGTGATGCTGTTGTTCAGCCAACATGTAAGACATTTATCCTGTTTACACCCACCAGGCTTCTGTAACAGACTGATATTTAGCTTTCAGTGTCTACAAGGCTGTATCATCAAGGGTGGAATGAGTTTCTCTGGACAAGTAGTTCCCAGTCAAACTTATTTGCTAACCTTATATGCTCTTCTGGCTGCAGGCTTATGAGGTGATGTTTGTCCTGTACCCTAGCCACTCTTTTACTCACTCCATTGTACATAGTTCTTGTGCTAGTGCTTACTTTGGCTACCAAGTAGAGGACATGCACTTTGGACATATTGCCCCCATTTTTTTTTTCTCTGACATTTAACATTTTAACATCATAAAGTCTTTCTGTATAATGTTGTTCTTACAGGACTTCGGGTTTTAGAACCCAAGGCAATGGCATGGAGCAGTTACTGGGAGGGGTACGATGGGATACCAGGAAATGATTCCTCCTCAGAAAATAGTGGGCATAGACAAGGATCTTCAGAGCAGTGGTCACAGTCACAGGCTGCTGCAGTTCAAGGAGCATAAGGACAGTCCTCTCAAACATAGGGTTTGCATTTTGGATGGTCCTGTGTGGAACGAGGGATAGGACTTGATGATCATTCTGGGTCCCTTCCACAGAATCAGAGAATTGCAGAGGTTGGAAGACTTCATCGAGTCCAACCCCCCAGCTAAAGCAGGTACCATCCAATAGGTAACACAGGTAGGCATCCAAATGGGTCTCAAATGTCTCCATAGCAAGATACTCACTCACAACCTCCATGGAAATCTGTTCCAGTGCTCTGTCACCTTACCGTAAAGAAATCCTTCTACATGCTAATAGAGAACTTCCTATGTACAAGTTTTAGGCCATTACTCCTTATCCACTGCACACCATCTGAGAAGAGCCTGGCCTCATCCATTTGCCTCCCACCTCCCTTCAGATATTTATGAACATTAATTAGATATTCCCTCAGTCTTCTTTTCCCCAGGTTGAGCAGATCCAGGTTACTCAGTCTTTCCTCATAGGGGAAACGCTCCAGGCCCTAAATCATCTTTGTGGCCCTCTGTCAAACTCCTTCTAGGAGATCCCTAACTTTTTTGAACAGGGAAGCACAGAACTGGACACAGTATTCTAAATGTGGTCTCACCAGGGCAGCGTAGAGGCAGAGCGTCACCTCCCTCAACCTTCTGTCCACTGTTTTCAGTGCATACCATGATACCACTGGCCTTCTTGGCCACAGAGGCACACTGCTGGCTCCATCAGGACACCAGGTCCTTCTCAACAGACCTTCTCTCCAGAAGGCAGATCAGCCCCTAGCCTGTACTAATGAAACTCAGAATATTCTGTGGTTGCAATTCTATTTACCTTCCTTCTGAAAAACTCTGCAGTTTTGTTTTCTTAAGCAGTTTGATCCTTCTACCTATGTGACGCAAGTAAAAAACAAATGGAAATCTTCACACTAGTATTCAGTTTTGAATCAAGACATAAAAATATATTGCAGTATTTGTCAATGCAACATCTACTTGGTCCAGATTTCTGCTTTCATAAGCAGACTTGTGGATTCAGTGAATAAATGTGCTGAGTTGATATGGCAAGGTCTAGCCAGCTGGGAGGACAGGGGGAACTTTTTCACTTTATGTTCTCCTATCCTGCAGAAGAAAGGGCATGAGAAAGCAGCTGTGGTGCTGAGCTGCCTATCAGTAGTAAACCACAACATCATAAAAGAGAATTTGCTCTTTCGTTTTTACTGTTGCCAGAATTTTGTGCCATGGATGAAGTACACTGTGCCATTTAGCACTGACATGGAACAGGTATACTCTGCAAAACAGATGGTACCTTCAGTATTGCACAATGCCAGATAACAGTTCCTGCTAGGCAGACTTGGTTTAGTTAGAATGTCCAAACATGCCAGAACAGAGATAGCAAAGAAAATATTTTTCATTTGTTGAGATCTAAGATTGAGTACTGAAGGCAGGATTCCCATCGGAGCTAGAGAGAGAGAGAGAGAGAGAGAGAGAAAATATAATAAGGACTCTTCTTCGAAGAGCTGCTACATTAAAAGCCAAAAATATCTTTCAGTACACATACAACTTTTCATTCAACTGATCTCTTAGCATTTGGGACAGTGTAATCACAAAAATCATTCGTGGTTTCATTTACTTCTTTAACAGACACCAAATCAGGACTGCAGAAAACATAGAGATCAAGCATCTCTAGTCCATAAGAGAATAAACTGACCATTAATAAGGCAGTGAGGGTGACAGTGAGCCTTCCCATGATAAGGTGTGCAATGGTATAGGTATATTAGGGGGACAGGATGCTAACAGGGTCCTTGAAGAACATGATGCCTTGAGAGGTGCTGGTAACACTGCAGCACATACAAAATCCTATGATAATGAGGCAGTGACTGCAGAGGCCATAGGAGAAGAGAACAGGGAAAATCAAGGGAAATATTTAAAAGAAATTAAGAAGTTGTAGGAAAGTGACAAGACCAGCTGCCCAAATGAACTGCCTCTATACCAATGCACACAGCTTGGGAAATAAACAGGAGGAACTGGAAGCTACTGTGCATCAAGAAAGCCACAATGTAGTTGCCATCATTAAAACCAGTTGGGATGACTCATGACTCGACCGTGGCTATCAAAGGCTACAAGTTATTCAAAAGGGACGGGTAAGGAAGGAGTGGGGGAGGCATTGCTATCTACATCAGGAGAAGAATAGAATGTGAAAAGCTGTCCTTAAAGAAGAGTCATGAGCAAGATGAAAGCCTATGAATGATAGAGATTGAGGTACCAAAGGGAATGTTGTGACTGATGTCTACCGCAGGCTATCTGGTCAAGTAAAGCCTGTTGATGAGGTCTTCTACCTCCAGTGTCACAATTGTCAGCACTTGTACTGCTGGGGGACTTCAACCACCCAGATATCTGCTGGAAAAGAAGCAGTGAGCTGTAAGCAACCCAGGAGGCTCCTGGAATGCAGGGAGAATAATTACTGAGTCAAGTAACAGTCAGCCCCACCAAGGGAGATGCATTACTGGACCTGTTGCTCACCAATGCCAATGAACTGATTGGTGACATCAGGATTGGAGGTAGCCTGGTCTATAAAGACCATCCTATGATGGAGTTCACTCCGAAGGACTATAAGACAGTCAGTGAGTAAAATTAGGGCACTAAATTTTAGGAAAACTAACTTCCAGCTCTTCAGGGAGATAGCCAACAAAACACTTGGGAAACTGTTTTCATGGGCAAGGGTGCAGAACAGAGTTGACAGACATTTTTGGAAGCTTTCCTCAGGGCATAAAAGCTTTCCAACCCCAGATATAGCAAGTCAGGAAACAA